ATGCGATATGCAATTACTAGGCTCAGCTACTAATATGCATATGAATCAATTAAATAGCATGCGGCATTTATTTACATGAATACAACATGAAAACTGTGCTAAACTAGTTATTTTAATTATTCTGCCTTGGGAAACGAGGGATGTTCATGCATGCGCGGACTTTTCATCCGAAAAAGCCACTATTTCTACTACCAAATGCCTTTGTTGCACAGTGTAACACCTACACTGATTTCCACCTCAGAACCAACTCTGTTCTGTTTTAACAAGTCACTGTTGGATTTTGCATAGGTGGCTGGCAGATGGCCTGTTGTCCTTTGGTGATGGTCTGCTGGCCACAAAAGGTGGCCTACCGGCCACTGATGACTAGATTTTCCTGCTGCAATAGAGAGCAAACAAAGCAGGAATACGGTATTCTCAAGGGTTTGTATGCACAATTTACCTCTCCTTATCATTTGAACAACTCAAAGGAGTAGTAAGTTTGATTCACAAACCACCAATGGATGCGATTTCATTGCATGATGGCTTATGAACCAAGTGTGCAAGTTCAATGAATGCAACAAAACAAGACTCTCAAAACCACCTCCTTATCATGAAAGATCAAGGGAAGTAGTTAATAATGAATCTTGAACCGTTTTCATCACTAATGAGTATGAAATGACTCAAGACTCAAGGGTCCAATTAACGTCTGATTGAACCCAAAACCAAATTATTATCTTGCATCTTTTTTATTCACCAATTTTATTACTCCATTTTAGATTACCATTCATTCTTTAATCAATTGAGTCCAAAGGTGAATTTAAGTCCTCGAATGGAAAGAGGGCTCAAACTAAGTGTTTCTTTGGGCATGAAAGAGACATCATACCATTGGTAATGAACCCCCAAAGGGATTAAACCGTTAAGCATGACACCTTAAACTCATGCTTAAACAAACAAATAATTTGAAACCACTTTCAAAGCAAAGAAAAAGCCAAGAAAGGAGGGAGGTTGCAAAGGTGTTTAAAGGTGAGAAAAAGTAAGAAAATCACTAAATAAATGCAATCAACTCAAATAAGGTAGTGTCTAAGGCTTAAAACACCAAACTTATGAGGACAATTACACTACAAGCATGCAATATAAGTCTCAAATGCTATGGACACTTAAAAACAGTGCTAAATAAGTCCTAAAACATGCTGGAATTAAGACAAAAATGGGACAATAGGCTAAAACATAGAGCTATGTAAGCTAGTGAATAAGACACAAGGAAGGAAGGCTATCCCCTCTAATTTTGAACTTCAAAAAGTGTGTTTAGCCACTGAAATAACTATGAAATTCAGTATTTAAAAGCTCAAAAAAAGGTGACAACAAGGTGGGAAACACAAGGGCAAAGGCCTTGGAAGCTAGGTAGAAGGAATGGTGAGCCACCCCTTCACCCTTATTGACCTTAAATCACAAGTCTCAGCCCAAAATTTTAGAGTTTAGACAGTCCAAAAACAACCCAAAAATAGTACAAAAATGCGCTGGAATGATGACAAAAGTAGCTAAAATAATAAGCTAAAACACAGAGCAATATAAGCTAATAAACAAGCCAAAGGAGGGGTGGCTAACCCCACCATTTTTGGGACTTCAAAACCACTTCTTTAGCCTTTGAAAACCTCTAAAAATCAGTGGTAAAAAGCTTAAAAAAAGTTAAATTATTTATTATTAGAGACTTGAATTTTGGTTTTTCCATTTTACCCTTTTATTATTTTTGTTATTTACCAATATTGGTGGTACTAATTTGGATGAAAGCTTTTTTAGGCTCCTATTTATTTTTAGTTTTTTGATTTTGCCCTTTGGTTTAGATATTTACTAGGACAAATTACAGTAGCAATCCCTATAGTTTGAGACTTGTGTATTTTCAATTGTGACACATTTGATTCTGAATTTTGAATCTTATTCTAAATAAGGATAATTGAAGATACCATTGCTCAATTTCAATGGCAAAGTCGTCAATTTGATAAAATATAAACTAATTTGATAAAAATAAATGTCAAAAAAATATTTTTGAATTTTAAAAAATTATTTCTATCCACCAAAGATAAAATTATGTAAAATTGATAAATTTTTTACACATTTATTTATTTTTATCAAATTAATTTTTATTATTTGTTTGGGTGATAATCATGTAATGAGTGGTTGTTTTTATTTTCATTAAATTAGTTTTCATTTTTTCAAGAGTCAAATATAGCGAGAACTTTGACATCATTATTAAACTAATCCATTAGTTTATATTTTAACATTTTTAACATTTATTTTTGTCAAATTAGTTTATATTTTATCAAATTGATGATTTTGTTCTTGAAATTGAGCATTAGTATCTCAAATTGTCTTTATTTGAAACAAAATTCAAAATTCATGATCAAATGTGTCAGAATTGAAAAGTCAGGAACCAAAGTGACACGAGTCCCAAACTATATGGGCTATTAGTGTAATTTGTCCATAGATGCTTACATTTCAGTTTTCTCATTCTACTATTTTATTTTGTATTATTTACCAATATTGGTGGTACTAATTGGGATGAAGATTTTTTCGTAATTATGCAAAAAATCTTGGTTAGTTATAAAACATAAATATTTTGATTTTGGGTAAATTACAAATATACCGCTTAGGTTTTCTTTCCTATTTTGCCCTTTCATTTTATATAATTTATTAATGGTAACCTATAATTTGAATTTCTCATTTTATCCTCTTCTTTGGAAATATTTACCAATATTAGTGGTACTAATTTGAGTGAAGGGTTTTCCTAATATTGCAAAGATTCTTGCTCACATAAATATATGTTGGTTTTGGGTAAAATACAAATACACTCATGAGGTTTGTTCAAAATATAAAATGTCCCTACAATACTAGAAATTACAACTATTCCTTATTAGAATTTTTAATTTAACAGAATAAATAGAAAAAAAAATTGTAAAAAAAAATTGAAAAAAATATGAAAATTTTTATGAAAACAAATGAAAATTCATCTAAAAATCATTTTAAAAAATCAAACCAAATAAAATAATTTGTTATAAGATATGCATTTTGGAAATATAAATTTGGGTAAATTACACTAACATCCCCTGAGATTTATGTTTATTACAGTTCCCTCCTCACCTTTCGGAAATTACATCTCCCCCCTGAGGTTTAAAGTTTCATTGCAGATTCCCCCCTCAGCAATTTAATTTTTTCAAATACCAATTTTTCCCTCACTAGGAAATTACATTGACACCCCTCACATTTTAGAAATTACAATCCCCTCCCTAAGGTTTAAAGTAGCATTACCAATTGCCCCTACGGTTAGTATTAGTTGGAAAAAAAAATTAATTGAAAAAAAAATTTGTTAGTAAAATTTTTAAATTTCTGTTTAAAAACCAATATAAACTCACCAAACAGGCCTGAGATAGTAAAAATGTCGTAAAATTAACAAATAATTAAATAAGTTACTAACGTGAGAAATGACTTATCAAAAGATTTTTAGGCTATGTATAGTTTGATTTTTAGAATTTTTTTTTAAATTAAAAATTAATTTGGTTAAGAAATAAAAAATAAAAAATAATTATCATAATAGATATAGATATAGATAAATTGAATAATAGATATAGATTTGCGGGGTGGGACTCTCCGGCCCGGATAGTTTGGCAAGCTTTCTACATCAGTGGGGGAGTTTGGGTGTGTGTATTTTAAGGGCCACTTCTCTCACTTGGTCAACAACTGTCCCGTGTGTGGCCTGTGGATCTTTTCGTAAAAATAATAATAATAATAATAATAATAGATATAGACATAGATAAATAGAGGTGTGCGTGGGTATGATTCAGACAATTTAAAAGTAAAATTATAAATTAGATGACGGATTAGTAAATTGTGGTTTGAAAAGTTTTGGGTGCATTAGTGAATTGGCAAATTGAAGAATATTTAATCAATTATAAAGTCTCTGCATAATATATAAAATTAATTTGAATAATATTTTTTTATTTATATAACACAAATTAATTTTACATAATATTTTTCATATATATAACTACTAATTTGTAACAAAATTTTACATATTAAATCTCTCTTATGCTCATTTTTTTGAAGGCGGATTATCAATTTTAAAGTTTAAATCGTGATTAGTAAATAAAGCGGTGCAAATTGATGCTATTTTAGCAGATTTAGCGATATTTTGCAGTCCTATAGATAAGTGTGAATTTTGTCTATTTAAATTATATTTTGCCTTTTTTATATTTGATCACTTTCTCACTTTGGTTTTTTTTTTTTTTTTTTTTTTTTTTTTTTTTTTTTTTTTTTTTTCTTTTGGTGACCACTTGAACAATTCATATTTCAAGTTTTTCTCACTTTACTCCTAAAGTTAATTTATGTTAAAAATTAGACAAAAAATGACATACTAGAAATCTCGTAGCGTAAAAATATTTGATTATACATAACTCACACATTTGACATAAATTTAATGTCTAATACAATATTATATTTTTTATGTTATGTGGTAGTTATTGTGGTATTTTTTTATTTAATTTTTAATAGAAATTAGTTTTAGGAGTAAAGAGGAAAAGATTTCAAGCATAATGGGTTAAAGTGAGAAAAAATAAATTTTAAGGGTTAAAGTGAGAAAGTGGCCAAACATTAAAGAATAAAGTATCATTTATCATTTTTATTTTCATTTTTATATTTTTATAGCTAACTATTCTATTATATAAAGGGAGGTCTTAAAAATATAAAATTATATTACGAGGTGACTAAGGTTTGACGAATATTCTTACCATTTGAATAATATATTTTTATGCATCTTTTTTTTATCATTATTCTTATTATATTACTTAATATAAATAATAATTTAAGATTTTGGATGTGTACCTAACTTTGGGTTGGTTTAGAATGAATTAAAAAAAGTCAATTTGTTAATTTGTTTATGTCACATTACTTGTCTACATTTTTACATTTTTTTTTTCGAAGGCGTCAGCCACTGACTGAGACCAATCTCTATTGTACAGAGAAATTTCCGTGCAATGAAGGGTCTTTGTGACATTGTTTTACCTGGGAGAGAGATTCCAAAGTGGTTCAGCCATCAAAGTAGGGGGTCTTCAACATCTTTTCAGTTGCCTCCACATTGGTTTAACAACCGGTTCTTGGGATTTGTTTACGCCGCTGTTGGATTCAAAGAGGCTAAATCGGACTATTGTCATATAAAAATGAAATTCAAGTGCCACGTTACTCAGAGGAACGTCGAAGAATGGGTTAACCACACTCAACCATGTGTCAAATTTGGAAATATGTTGGTTAGGTGTATCCCACGCAGTGCATTTTCGGAAATCACGGAAGATGATATGGAGCAATTAAATGAGGGTGGATTTGAATGTGAAGCTCATTTTTTGGAACTAATTCAGCTTTCTTCAATTGAAGAAGAGGAAAACCTGGGAAAAAAGGTCTGGATGCCCGTATCCAAAGTAGAGGTCGAAAAGGTCGGTATCCATCTTGTATACAGGGAAGCTGAAGAACAAGCATTGAGTGGTACTAGTAGTAGTAGTGCTACTACATCAAAGAGAAAACGCGACCTCAACCTCAACGACAATTACTACGACGCAGAGGTAGCAGGACCCAGTGGAAGTTCTAGAATTGATGATCAAGAGGACCACCTCAACAACCTCAACAGAAAAAGGCTTAGGTAAGTATATATCTCTTACAATTCAGTTACATTTTCCTCCAAATAAAAATGTCATCAACTCACACTCCCACTGCAAATTATAAAATAAAATAGGAAATATCATTTTGCTTCCAAATTATTACGCTTTTTTCAATTGACATCCAGTCTTAGCATTATTTTTATTTGATCCCTAAACTTCTTAAAATTTGATCAATTTAACCTCCACTATCTGTTTCCGTCTATAATCAAACAGAACTTGCTGACGTGGTATCAAACTCATTTGGAACTTTATTTTACTTCCAAACTATACCCTAAAAATCAATTTTCCCCCCAAATAAAAAATAAATAAATTTAAATATTTAATAAATAAATTTTTTTTATCTCAATATTGAAAAAATTAAAATTTAAATGATATACATTGCAAAAAACTAATTAAAAAAATATAAAAATTGTTATTTAGATTCTGGGATCCCTCCGTACAGCCAAGTGGTTTCATTGATGTTGGGGTTCCTCATGCTCCACTTGATTTGACCTTAGTTGCCCTAGCTCTGCCTAATGATCATCCATCAGGTAATCCAGCTCTCTGGAGCTTGTTAAGTATTTTCATTTGTGACAGTTTCTTGCTCAAATGGTCTTAGGCCTTGTTTGTTATAACCTAAAAAAGTCAAAAAATTAAAAAATCGCTATCCTATTTAAGTTATATCATCTTATTTAAGTCACATTACCTCTCTATCACATCACTTCAAACCCAACCCATATTTCATAAAAAGTCAAAAAGTACACTGCATGTGGTGTTTATAGTCTTGTCCTTGTGGCATGAGAAGGGTGTAGGTGCTTTGTGATAGTTGGCCCTGCTTAGAATGTGGATGTTTTTGAGCTTTTTCAGTGCTGCATCCAGAGTGTCATGGTTTTGTCCCAGTCTTAGGAGGTTTGGACGCTAGAGGTTAGGTGTTTTAATTGTTGGTTCCTTATCTACTTTTTTCGGTTTCGGTTTCGGTTTCGGTTTCGGTTTGGAGGTGTTGTTCCTCAGATTACTTGTTTGATGGTTTTCAGAGTGGTGTTCCTCAGATTTCTTCTTGTTCGGTTTTCAAGGAGATCCCTCCCAGTATTTTTTCTGTTTTGTTTCCCCTTTTTGGTGGTTGTTCTGGCCAAATGCCTCACTCTCCTCTCTATTAATGTTCTATTGAATTAATAAAATATTATTTTCTTTGCTAATGAAAAAAAAACAAAAAAGTGACAATCACTTTTTCTTTGCTCATTTTATTTTATTTTATTTTATTAGCAAAGAAAATAATATTTTATTAATTCAATAAAACATTAAAAAATAAAAATTTCAGGCCTGCCCCAAGCCTAGACTCAGCCTGTTGGCCCGAGGCTTGATTACTCCCTGGGCCTAGATTTTTGAACACTAGCGAGAGACTGAAGGGTCTAGGCGGGGTGTCAAGGTGCACCCATCCAAGGGTCAACACGTTGATGCCACACACATTTGTGCCCTTTAGAGAGTCAAAGACATGCCTAAGAAGTTGTTGGTGCAAGTACAAAGCAAAGGCCTAAGGCATAGTGCAAGATCGTCCAAGACATACCATGAAGCAAGCTAGCCACCAAGTAACAACTTTAGGTCAACTTTTAGAGGGTCAAATGTAATCTTTTTGCCTTTTAAATTTTTATGTAAATACCTTAGTATTAAATGTGTTTTGGGACCAAGAGTTGTAATTTTTTTATTTTTGTATTATTTTTAAAAATCCATTAGGACTCCTCAAACATAGTGGATATTTCCTCTTGCTAGCTAGAAATTGCTTAAACAAGTTATATATAAAGATGGGGTACCCAAGTGTTGAACCAGACCACTTGTGCCTTTAATGTACCCCAACCTAGCTTATGGTAAGGTAACTTTTGTAGCACTTTTAGTGCATTGTTCAAACTATTGTAATGCCTTCTTTTGAGTAATGAAAAGTGCAACCTTTCAATGTTGCTTACTTTATTTTTAGCTTGTTGATTGTTATTTTGTGGCTTGTCTCCAAACTTGTGGCTCATCAACTAAACTAATATTGTGTTTGCTTGTCTTTGTAAACCTCTTGAGCTTCATTGGCGGGCTAATGAAGAGAGTTAACTAGCGCCACACACACTTGCATATCTTTATCAAGGCTTTCGCATTGCCCGTGTGTGACACCGGGCCAAGCTCGATGGCAGATTGCGTCGGCCGATTTTACACACCCAGTGAATAACTCAAGGTAAACTTAACTCTAGATTTGGATTTTAGAATTGTATTTTTTTAAGTTTGATCACTTGGGAAAATATATAATTTAAGAGCAAAATAATGGGGCACATACATAAAACATTTTTTTTTTTTTTTTTTGGGAGATTTGGTGAAAATCAATTTAAAGAGGGTGTAAGGCATTAGGTTGGTTGGGTTTATTTATTTATTCATTTATTTTTTATTATTTTTGGTATACTCTTTGTGAAATATTGTGGTGAGAAGTACATTTTGTTTTTAGTTTTTCCCTTTAATTTTATTAAACCTATCTATCAAAATTTTTATTCTATCTGTTGAATTTTTATCTTTGTAAAAATTCTAACTGTTCATTTTTTTATTTGTTCAAATTTTAATTTTTTTTCCTGTCTATGAAACTATCTGTTGATTTTTTTTATTTGTTCATTTTTATCACTGTTAAAATAACAATTCAATTTTTTTATCTGTTAAATAGATCTAGGTATGCAAACAGATCTGGAGAGAGAGAGAGAGAACTCACAACTCTGTTCAAACTTGTCTTCCATCATCACCTCAGAACTTTCTCTCTCAAATAATCGAAACAAAATTGAGAACTTTATTCAAAAAAATTCGAGCAAGCCAATCCAGGGTCTGTTTGTTTCCCAGAAAATGTAGATGAAAAGATAATGAAACATTAATTGAGAACTTTATTCAAAAAAAATCCAAACATGCTAAAACAATGTGACAAATACTTATCCAAACCCCAATGGAGAGAAGAAACATGCAGCGAATTTTCTGTCATTTTCTCATAATCAAAGGAATGGTGAGAAAATTCCTCAAAAAGAGTGAAAAAAGCACACAAAACGACATTGTATAGAAAAGAGCAAAATGGTACTGTTCTTGACTTTAGTGACGGCATTCCAGAAGAACCCAAAGGCCGGTCCATCAGACGGAGTGGGCTTCAGAAATTGCTGTAGTGGAGTCTGAGTTGGCGGTTGAGCGGTTTGAACCAGCGGCAGAGTGGGAGGTTGAACCGGCAGCAAAGAAGGAACATTTTTAGCCAGCGATTCGAAAGCTTTGCCATCTTTGCCACCACATCCGCCACCACTATTGAAGCAACGATTGTGGTCCAAGGACATCCACCGCAGTGAGACTTGGTTGAGGAGGAAGGACAACCAGAAGCTGTGCCGACGCCTTGCTAATGGTAGCAGATTTGCGATTGCATTTCAGAGCGAGTTTGGTCACTGAATTGAATTGAATTGAGAGAAGAGTGCTGGAATCATCGAGAGTAGATCGAATTGAGTGTTGAGGGAGAGACGGTGGTGGCTTTGCCGCTCCACCCAGGCCACCAGCAGCAGACGATAACTCACAGATCAGAGGAGTCGATGATGGAACGAAGCTTTGGAGGGGGAAAGAATGAAGGTTTGAAGAAATTGAAAGGGCCATTTGCTTCTACAGCGACAAAGATGGGCCTGAGAATAGAGATTTAAGGATAGGAAGAGAATTTAAATAGGTAGAGAGAAAAAGAAAAGAGAGAAGTTGAACAAGTAGAGAGTAATTTAGAGTCATGTAGCTATCTGTCATAGAAAGATGCAAAATATGGGAAGTTTGGTCTTTTCGCAGAGGCATGTCCTTATGGACATAGTAATTTAGAGAGTGGACTTTCAGGCCAAAGAAATTCAAAATGGACATATGGACGGAGTGGCCTTTTGTTTTTAACTAGAATTCATAAATACATATGAGACCCACTTACTTATGTCTGAGATAAAAAATAAGATTATATGCAGCATTTTTCTATATTTAAGTTTGAGATAATATTTTATTATTATTTGAGCCACTGTAAAAAAAACTTGTTGGCCTAATAAATTTGTTTTAATTTATCATATAACACGATCTATTTTATTCTTGACTTTTGGCCCCCATATTTATAATCTGACTCCACCCTTGTACAAAAATAAAAAAAATAAAAAAAAAAAGCAAACAGAGAACTAATTTAGATTTTTCACATTAGGCCCCCAAAAAGCTTGAATTGGGTCACCTCTGTTTATGTAGATATATATTGCCATAGTAAAAAGAAAACAATTAAAGAAATGTGAATATGACTGAGAACCGATGTCAATTTTGAATGAGAACAAAACTTAATATCATATATTCATTCTTAGGGTTAGGGTTGTGAAATCAAAGCGCCAATGGCACAACTATCTTGAGTGGCTAAAAATGTTAATTTTGATTGAGAACCAAACTGAATATTAAATTTCAGTAAGGCTTAGGATTTTGAAATCCAAAGCCCTAATGGCACTGCTATCTTGGATGTAAATGAAGTTTAGAGTGAGAAACAAACTTGAGCTACAGAAAAGAGCTCTCGGAAAGATTCGATTAGAATGGAAGCAACTAGTTCTTTGCTCACAAACCCATGGTGGAGATGTGAGAGAGTGAGAGCTTGTGAAGATGTTGACATTGAGAGAACGGTGGTCCGAATTGCCGACGGGGCTGGTGGACTTTGGCCATGGCTGAAAGCTTCGGCCATGGCAGAACAGAAGAGGGAGGAAAGAGAAGAGCAAGAAGAGGAGAAGAGGGTGTATTGATTTGGGTCTCGACCTTGACTGAGATTCAATTTTGGTCCTTTTTGGTAACTGGCTACACCGGTGCCAATTGAAAAATGAAATTATTTAAAAATAAATTAGTTATGATGTGCTTAATCGTGGAGAGCAAAGGGGGGGACCATTGAATCGGAGAAGGTGGTGGTGGTCCGAAGCAATAAAAGCAATGCAAGGGGCAAGAGGGGTTAGATACCCAGTTTGGCCCCAAACAACCATAGAGGGCGGTTTTTGCTAACAATGGCAATCGATGAACAACCCTATATTAGAAGTTCTAGGTCACCAGCTGAAAGTGAGTCTTCCAAGAAATGCCAAAGTTTAATATACAGAAAACTACATCCACTACAAGGAAATAGTGATTTAGAGACCAATTGAATTTGGTTCCTAAAAATAATCTTTTAGGGACAAAAATAAAAGTTGTGATACTTTTGCAGAAATGCTTCATTGTTCACGGTAAAATCTTTTGGAATATTTGGAGACAAATTATTTTAGACGTAACTGAACCTTTAGAGACCAAATGTTTTGGTCCTTAAAAATGGCCAATTAGAAAACCACCATCCTTATATCTGAAACTATTCCAACCCACGGGACCAAACACTCCTTTGCCCTAATTTTTCAATTCTCTCTCTCTCTCTCTCGTTTGAAGCTCGGTGTGAGAAAATGGATCGTGAAAATCGATTTATCATTACTCGTTACCGGTAGATCTATCAAACATTTGAGATGTTAAGCTTCAATCAGGTAGATCTACCATTTGTCACACACACACACATCGTGAAGTCGATGGGTTGATTCTTCATCTTCATCTTCGTTTTTTTTTTTTTTTTTTTTTTTTGGTGTGTGTGTGTGTGTGTGTGCAGATTTGAGACCTGAAGCTTCATTCACAACAGACCTATCATCTCCTCCAATTTTTATTTTTTATTTTATTATTTTTTTTTTTTGCAGATTTGGTGCATCTCTCCTTCTCTCTACCTCATATGTACATGTATCTATAGATAGATCTATGAAGAACACAATGATTAGTTCTCGTTTTTGTTCGATTGGCCAAATTAAAATTACTATATACTACATATTAATGTCGATGGGTCTCTTAGTATCATCTTGTACAAAAACCTAGGGTTTCTTTGAGTGATTTGAGAATCTGAGTCAGATGTAGTGGGAGTTGTTTACATTTTTGGTGAAGAAATGCTAGGGTTTCTTCTTTCGTTCCGATTTTTTTTGGGTGATTCTAGCTCGAGAATCTGTTTCTTATTGCCTTTGTTTGAATTTGAGTTCTGTTTGATTTAAGCTTGCTTTAATGCTATTGTGGTTTTAATTGTTAGGTTCAGTGTTATTAAAAGTGATAAGCGCACCAAACTGCCAAGGTCTCCTGAGGCCTTAGGCACAAGGCAAGGCACGGATTTCATCGAAGTAAGGCGCACCATGGCAGGTTGAAATAAATTATTTAATGAGCCATATAAGCAAATAACTAACTGGTATAACAAACAAAAATGAAACATTGAACATTTAAAAAAATAAATACCACAAATATTGCTATTTTAATATAGACAAATGAATAATATTCAAAGTTCAATATAAAACACGAATATCCATGATCTAAAGGTCAATTAAGGTCAAGTTTGGCTAACCTAAAAAGTACACTTATTTCATCTTTTTATCTTTTTTAGGTCACATCAATCAATATCTCCTCTCTACTTTTTCTACACATTATACAAAAAAAGTCAAAAAGTGCACTTATTTAGTCTTCCAAACTTGACCTAAATCATAAAAATAGAAAAGAAACGGAGCAATTCAGAATAAATATTTAATAAACAGAACAGTCCAGAAGAGAAGAAAAGCAGAGAAAATAAAATAAAATAGGAAGAAGAAGAAGAAAAGCAGAAAATAAAAGCAAAAGAAAAGCAGAGAAGAAGAATAAGAAGAAGAAAACAGCATGGGTATATTTGAAGCCCTAAAAATCTCAGCTCAGCCTAACTCTATGGACTAAAACAGAGCATTCTAGAAAAAAACTAAAAATCAGAGAAAGGCAGCATGGGGAAGAGAAGAACAGATGAAGAAGAAGAAGAAGAAGACGACGACTGACGAAGAGAAGAGAAAGAGACAAAGAGAAGATCAGACAAAGAGAGGGGAAGAAGAGACAAAGAAACAAAGAGAAGAAAACATGCCTGCACATTTGAAGCTCCTAGACTGGATGACGAGTTCGACTTCTTCGGAGCTTTGAATTAGGGCTTATTTTTTCTTCTGTTGTTTGTTGATTTGGGGCTAAATCGACAAA